CCCAAGTGCTGGGATTAAAGGCTTGAGCCACCACAACCAGTTCATTGATCAATTTCTTTTTTTAATTTTTTAAAAAATATTATTTGGGCTGGAGAGATGGTTCAGTGGTTAAGAGCACTGAATGTTCTTGCAGAGGACCCGGGTTCGATTCCCAGCACCCACATGGCGGCTACAAACTGTCCTTAACTCCAGTTCCAGGGGATCTGACACCCTGACCCTGGAACTGGAGTTAAGGACAGTTTGTAGCCGCCATGTGGGTGCTGGGAATCGAACCCGGGTCCTCTGCAAGAACATTCAGTGCTCTTAACCGCTGCACTATCTCTCTAGCCCTCATCATTGATCAATTTTTAAAAGATTTTTTAAATGTTTATTTGTTTTGAAACAGGGTCTCACTATGTAGTCCTGGCTGGCCTGGAATTCACTATGTAAACCAGACTGGCCTCAAACTCACAGAGATCTTCTTACCTCTGTCTTCCAAGTGCTGAATTAGGGGGCTAGAGAGATGGCTCAGCAGTTAAGAGCACTGGCTGTTCTTGCAGAGGACCTGGGTTCAGTTCCCAGAACCCACATGGTGGCTAACTGTCTAAAACTTCAGTCCCAGGAGAATCCAAGTGCTAGATTAAAGGCAAGTTTGCAAAGGTATGTGTGTGTGTGTGTGTGTGTGTGTGTGTGTGTGTGTGTGTGTGAACTGAACCAAAAAACTTTGTGTGTGTGGTGTGTGTGTGTGTGTGTGTGTGTACATAAATGCAATGCCTGCAAAGACCAAAAAAGGGTTTTGGATCCCCGGAGCTGGAATTAGAGGTAGTTGTGAGCTACCTGATATGGTGCTGGGGACTGAACTCAGGTCTTCTAGAACAATAGTAAGTGCTCTTAAGCAGAGCAATCTCTCTGGTCCCTCTTCGGGTACTGTTGATGGACTTGTTGGTCTGGTTTTTTATGTAACCCAGCAATGCCTGCAAAGACCAAAAAAGGGTTTTGGATCCCCGGAGCTGGAATTAGAGGTAGTTGTGAGCTACCTGATATGGTGCTGGGGACTGAACTCAGGTCTTCTAGAACAATAGTAAGTGCTCTTAAGCAGAGCAATCTCTCTGGTCCCTCTTCGGGTACTGTTGATGGACTTGTTGGTCTGGTTTTTTATGTAACCCAGGCTTATGTGAACTTGTGTTCCTGCCTCATATTTACAGTTCTAGGATCACAGACTGCTGTGATCATAGTGACTGTAAAACACCTAGTGTTACATGAGGTAGCTTTACTTCCTGTTAGTGTGTTAAGGTGTCTGAAACTCCATAAAAACTTAGAACTGTCTTCTCTACTTAGGAAGGATCAATTTAGAGTGGTACTCATTTATTCCCTCAGATGTGAGATAGAAAGACGATCAATAACTCATGTGTTTTGCACAGGAAGCACAGGCAGCTTAGAGGCACAGGGATTTCTCTGATCTTGGAGGAGTAAACTGGGGGCAGCCAGGCCCACCCATGGCAAATCACTAGGTTCTCTCTTGGCTCTGTACTTTGTAGCCCACTAGGCCTCTTTTTGTGTATGCACAGATGGGTTAGAAAAGCAGGAAGAAGGCCCTGGCAGTAGTGAAGGAGAACTTTTCCCTCTAGAGTCTCTGTGTTTGCTGTGGAACACAAGGTTCTGCTGTATTTGATGTGAAATTAGCCCTACCGGGACTGATCACAGGAAGGAAACAGAAGACTGTTGGAGGCTGTTGATGTTTTTACTTTTTATTTTGTTACATATGTCCATTGGGTTAGTCAAGCAAGCTAGTGTTTGGGAGTCAATCTTTAGCAACCAAATAAACAAAGCTGCTTTTAAAAAAAAAAAAAAAAAAAAAAAAAAAAAAAGGTATTTTTGCCTTTGTGGCAGACTGAGAAGTGGGAACCTGTCTGTGTAAGAAATATCCATTAGGCACTTCCTTGGACCCATGTCCTGGTGCATAGGCACCTGTGAGAGGAGGGCCTGGCCAAGGGTATGAGCAGAGGATTGAGCAGACCCAGTTCCAGCCCAGACACCTGCAGAGAGCAGTGAGGTGGAGAAGGACAGTGTGTGTCTTGGAGACTGCTCAGCAAACACACAGCAGTGGAGTGACATTCTAATGGGTATGCACAAACTAAGCAGAAAAAAGTACTGGAAGACTGTAGCATGGCTCAGTAGCACTGACCTGACCTGTCCAATGTCCTCAGTTCTATCCAGCCCTAGAAAAAATGTATTTTGTGTGTTTGTGTGAATGTATGTATCGTAGTACATGTATGTGCACTTGTGTGTGTCTGCATGTTGTCAGTATCAAGTGTCTTCCTTAGTTGCTCTCCACCTTATTTTTGAGACCAGGTCTCTCACTGGCTTGGAGCTCACCAATTGGACCAGTAAGCTCCAGGGATCTGCCTTTTTTTTTTTTTTGGAGCTGAGGACCCAACCCAGGGCCTTGCGCTTGCTAGGCAAGCACTCTACCACTGAGCTAAATCCCCAACCCCATCCTTTTTCAGCCCTCTCAGAGCTGGGACATAAATGTGCACCACCATGCCTAACTTGCCTGACTTTTGCATGTGTACTGGGGAGCAAAACTCGGGTTCTCATTGCATTGTAGGCACTTTTCCTAACTGAGTCATCTCCTCACCCCAATCCCAAATTTTAATTAAAAAAGACATGAGGTACCCTAGCACAAGGTATTAGGGGAGACTCGTTCAGTGAGCTTTCAAGATGCTTATGTGTGTACAGAGCTAAAGCTGGCAAGAGTCATACTGAACAGAAAGGCAGTGCCAACGATTAACTGTTCTGTTTTGTTCTCCTTGTTTGGGAAAAGCCCAGTAAACAGTAGATGCTCCAAAAATGCACAAAGGATTGCAATCCCAGCTACTCAGGAGGCTGAGACAAAAGAACTGGAAGTTCAAGGCTTGCCTGGGTTACACAGTGAGTTCAGGGCCAGCCTGGACAACTTTGCAGGGCTCTATCTCAAAATAAAAAATAACTCGATTGAAAAAAAAATTCGATTGGAGATGTAGCACAGTGGTAGACCACTTGCCTACCTAGTGTTTGTGAGCTCCTGGGTTCAATCCTCAGTGTTGGGGCGGGGTGGGGTGTAGATATTGGGTATGGTGGCACATGCCAGTAATCCTAGCTATTTGGGAAGTTGAGGCTGGAGGATGTGACACTCAAAGATATGTTAGGCTATATTAGTGAGGACCCCTCCCCCCCATCTCAAAACAGTGAGGAAAGCCAGGCATGGTGGCAACATGCCTTTTATCCCAGCACTTGGTAGGCGGAGGCAGGTGGATCTCTGTGAGATTGAGGCCAATCTGATCTACATAGCAAGTTCCAGGCCAACTGGGGCTACAAGGAGACCCTGTCTCAAAAGGACCAAAAAAAACCCACAATGAGGAAAGAAATACAATCTATTATATATTGATAAGCACCTTTAGGCTTGTCAAGAACAAGTAAAGGACAGCTCCTGTTGCCTTGTGTGACAGAGAAGGGCAACCCAAGATACAAGGGATCAAGAGGTGGCCAAGGTAGGACCCTTTAGCCTCCTACATCTGTGGGCCTCACTTTTCCCAGAATAGAAGCTGGTGTGCTCCATGGTCTCCATCTGTACCCGGTGATGTGTATGTTTCTATTGGTCTTTTTCCCTTCCTTGGTTTTCTTGAGATGGGCTATCATGTAACCCAAGCTGGCCTCAAACTTGGGATCTTTGTACCTCAGCCTCCCAAGTACTAGGACTAAACCACCATACCGTCAGTGTGCATATCTTTAGTCATCTGCTCTGGATTTATTGGACATCAGTGTTGTCCTCAACATTCCTCTGTGTGTGGGGAGAGATTGAGAGATCAAGAGATCTCCTTATATGTAGTTGTCATAGCAGGGGACAGAAGATGACCCGTATCCCAGAGGTTTGCAGAAAGCCATTGTATATAAAGGGAAAGACCCATGGGTGGCAAGGGAGGCTCTCTGGAGACCTCAAACATGGCCCTACCATTTGAACTAAGGCCTGCCACACATTTTTCACCACTTCTGCCAGGAGAGTGGCAGAATAGCAGCTGGTCCAGGGAGTCTCCTGTGGTCCAGTGGTTGGGAGCCAGGCTGCTTTGAGATTTAGTCTCAGCCACAGCCAAACTAGGTCAGAAGCTGGGGAGATGGCTCCAGTGGTAAAGTATTTTCATGGTGGCACGCTTGTAATTCCAGTGCTTGGGGCAGTGACCAGCCAAACTAGCCTACTTGATAAGTTCCAAGTCTGGTCCCAGTGAAAGACTTCTGAGAAATGACACTAGAGGTTGATCTCTGGCCTCCACACATTCATAGATGTGCCTTACACAAAAGCCCTTGAATCAGCTGATTGGTGGCACACAACTGTCATCCCAGAACTGAGGAAGCGAAGGGCAGCAGGATGGAAAGGTCAAGGCCAGCTTAGACTGCAGAGAAAGACCCTATCTCACAAGAATAGATAGATGATGGATGGATGGATGCATGGATGGATGGATGCATGGATGCATGGATGGATAGATGCACGGATGGATGGATGGATAGATAGATGATAGATAGATAGATAGATAGATAGATAGATAGATAGATAGATAGATGATGGATGGATAGATAGATGAATGATAAATGAATCTTGAATTCTGTGACCACATAGCAGAAGGGTCTTGTATCTTGAACAGGGTTCCTTCCCATCCCTCCACCTCCCAAATCCTCCCCAACACACACACTCCCTCCCATTACCCCAGGTGGTCAGAGCAGACCTTCCTGCCCTTGGAACAAACCTGCTCATCTGCAGTCCAGCATTGGTTCTGCTGTGCTGGATGTCAGCATCCCTGTCCTTTTTTGTTTGTTTGTTTTTTTGAGACAGGGTCTCCCTGTAGCCCCAGGTGGCCTGGAACTCACTGTGTAGACCAGGCTGGCCTTGAACTCACAGAGATCCATCCACCTGCCTTTACTTCCTGAGTTCTGAGTGTGCCACCACACCCCGCTTGCACCCCTGTCTTTCTTCTTCCTCTTTAAACTAGGGGAAGGCCTTCATCTCCCAAAACGTCCTAAGAACCTACGGCTGAGAAACTCCCCTGGAAGTCTCCTGGGCCATTTCCATCACCCTGGGGAGTCAGAAGACAGCTCAGGGCTTGCTACCTCTGCAGAGCCCAGCAGGGAGGAACCGGGACCTGCAGCCTCCAGGTAGGTGTCTCAGAACTTTCCATCAGATCCCTCAGTTCAGTCACAGAATGGCAATGTTATAAGAAAGATACAAAGGGGAGTAGACCAGGATGACCCTGCCAATGCTGCCATCAGTCGTGTGCCCTGGCTCATATCATAGCTCTCCTCCCTGAGGAGAAAGGTCATAGATAACACTGAGTTTAGTCTCAGTCATAACTAAATTGTAGGTCAAAGCTGGGGAGATGGCTCATATGGTAAAGTGTTTGCTGTGCAAGTATGAGGAGCTGAGTTTGATGCCCCAGAAGCCATATAAAAAGAGTTGGATGTGGTAGTGTACACTTGTAATCCCCACACTGGGGAGGCAGGGATATGCAGGTACCTAAGGGCTCACTACCAGCCAGTCTAGCCTAATTGATGAGCTCCAGGCCAGTGAGAGACCCTTAAAGTGTTCTGAGGGTGACACCTGAGGTGATTGTTAGGTTTTGGGGCAGAATACAGGAATAGAAGAGAAAGAAAGAGACCATACCAGATCTCAGACCGGACTGCGTTTTATTCAAAGGGCACAGCAAGTGACAGCCACCTTCCCGCATGCTAGGGGCAACTGTACTGTGAATCAGGAGAGTTAAAGATCACATAGGGCTACATGAGGAAGTGGATGTAGCTGCAGGGGTCTGCATGTCTCATCTCCAGGGCCCCTTGCTCAAGCAGGACAGGCTATTGTGAGCAACAACCCGTCTCCAGCAGGTCCCCTTGAATTCTGGGAGTGGCCAATCCCAGTGTGATTTATTGATATGGTTGGTAGCAGTCTCAGAGACAGCTAAGATCAGCAGCAGTTTCAGAGGACTTCTGGTTCTTCATCAGTTGTCCTCTGACCACACACATATACAGACATGTACACACGCATGCATAAGAAAAACAGTATGTCGGGGGTGGAGAGATGGCTCAGTGGTTAAGAACACTGACTGTTCTTGCAGAAGACCAGGGTTCAAATCCCAGCACCCACATGGCAGCTAACAAGTGTCCGTAACTCCAGTCCCAGGGGATCCAACAGCTTCTTCTGTCCTCCATGGGCATTGCATGATACGGGTGCACTTATACATGCAGGCATAACACTCAAACACATAAAATAAAAATAAGAAATAAAATATTTTTTAGGAAAAGAAAGCTGGAGCGGAGCATGGTGGGCGCACGCCTGTAGTCCCAGCACTTGGGAGGCAGAGGCAGGC